CAAACCCAGGCTGCACACAAATCATTTCTGCCTCGGCTGCAGGGCCGGCACAAGCCTCTGTGAGGCCCCAGCGACAGGTCCACAAATCCTAAATCCTATTTCACTCAGAGGGGATAAACCTCACTCTAAACAGAGTCTGATACAAGTGAAAATCCTGCTTTCTACACTTTTAGTGAAGGCCGAGTAAAGAGGTGTCTGCAAGAAAACAGACTCAGACAGCTGAGATATCCAGCAGCATGTTAAACACCTCAGTCTGGGATTTAGGTTTCTACTTTTAGATGACTTGAAGTGTGAAGGAAGAAGCAGGGAACAAAGGAAAGAAGAATACAGAAAGAACAGAAGGAAACAAGGAAGGTGCAAAGGAAAAGAGAAACCTGAGATCAGCTGGAGAAAAGGAAGATGAAAGGAAAGAAATGAGGACAGAAAGGGGGATGGATGAAGACAGGGAAGGTAAGAGCAGAAGCAGAGAGGAGAGGAAGAAAGAAAAGGAATGCCTGACAAGAACAGGAAAGGAGAACAACCGACTGCTCTGTGGAGCTGATAGTTCAGTGACATGTTTTGTTTTCAGATCAACTGAAGAAAGACAGAGAAAGAAAGAAGCAAAGTCAGGTTGAGTGAATGTAAAACTGCTCAGATTCAAATTAAAAGCCTCTGTGTTAAATGAGACTGAATTTCAGAGTAAACGCTGAGATGCTATATTCTAACACTCCTGGACTAAATCCTCTAAGAGGTTTCCACAAACAAAAGCGGTATCCCAGCTCCATTCTACCTTAAATGCATAGTATACACTTGTCTTTCCAGAGTGCTGTGGCAGCAGTATACTCACAGGGAATGATACTTTATTGCAGAAACACAACTTCACGTTCCTGAGATGCTCCAGACTGTTTTGGTTAAACCTTTCCAGTCTGAACCCACTGGACTCTGAACCTGCTCAGGAACTGGCACTAAACACTTGCACCATCCACTGCACTGTGTGTGTGTGTGTGTGTGTGTGTGTGTGTGTGTGTGGGAGGAGAAGCTCTTTAAACAGACTGCAACAGAAACACAAGAAGAAGGTGGAGGCAGGTTCCTGCTTTATAGCGTCCATCACTTCAAAGTGACCAAACAGCTTGTCAGGCTGCAGTTAAAGTGGATGCAAACCATTTACAGCTGTGAGGTCACTGGCCAAGAGTAACGGGCACGTGGGTGGCACAGTTTAGATTTACATCACATGGACAACAGTATGTGGGGCTTCAGAGAGTGGCTCCTACCATTTAGTTTCAGTCAGGACTTAGCTGTATTTTCCAGTGGTGCTGTGCGACTCCACAGTGTGGATGTTAGCGCGCTGCAGCAGAGCCACAGCTGGCTTCTAACCCCAGTCATCACATTCATCATGGATTAGGTGTTAGGGTTAACCCCAGTCATCATGTGTGTCAGTGCCACCAGAAGCAAAGCAGCGCAGAATCCAAATCTGAAACAGCGGAAACATCTGAGAGCAGTGGGCAGCAGCTGCTCCGACATTTGTCACTCAGATTTGAGAAAATAAAAACAGTTTTATTTTGTTTGTTTGTTTGTTGTTGGAGCAGCTGACAACAGCACCAAACAAAAACAAGTAACTGGAGTAAAGATAGTGGGAATTTTATCAACATGCTGATGATTAAGAAGTGACATCCTTCACATATACCACATTGTGATGCACAGTGATGGAGCCTGGTTCGTCTGTAGTGGGTTAACAGGTCAGAATCACAGGTGGCATTAAGCTCATGCTGTTTGCAGACGCTTTACCTTCCACCAAATGTCATTCACTTAAGTGCACATTTTATTTCTAATACTTTATTGCAACTTTGACATGCATGCTCAGAAGGTGTTGGGTTACTTAACCTGGGCATCTGTTCTTATATTTGCTTCTCCTGCCGTGATGCTCCAATTTCCTTGTGCGACATAAGTAAAGTTTATTATTTGTTTATGTGGCCATACTTTTAGTTATGTTGTGTGTTATTTCAGTTTCTATGTAAAATGTGATCCCATGTAAAACAACAAGAAAACAAACTGATTTCTGAGTAAATCAAGGTTGGGAAAAAGGAGAAAGAGAGAAAATACAATGCAAAAACAGGGAGAAAAGAAGAAGCAGAGTGAGAGGTCTGTCCAGGGTGAAGCTCTGACAGGATTAAGCCTCAGCAACACGAGATGTGATTGAATTTCAATGAAGTGAAACACGTGAGAAAATGACACAGAATGAAATGAACCAGAGGCCAGCACCACCTCCACCCCGAAAAAGAAAAAGAAGCTGGATGACTCTCGAAGAACAAGAGGAAACAAAAACAAGTGACTGAGCTGAAGGAGAGAAAAAGTCTAATCTGCTCAGCCTCTGTTAACAACCATAGTAATCCTGTAATACAGCGATCACTTTACTAATATATTCCAGCAGAGAAAATCCTGTTCTGGTAAACGTTGATCCTCAGTAGGACTGAAGAGGAAGAATGAGAGTGTCCCCAGCAGAAAAGACACAGCAGGGACATTAATACCATAGAACTGTCACACAGCTACGGAACGTTCATGTCTTCAGTGTGACCTGGTCTATTCTGCTGCAACCAGTCAACACTGGTCTGTCCTTCCCATCAAGGCCATTTTCACAGTTAATCTTGTTTTTTTTAACCAGTAAACTTCATAGCAGTGCCTTACTTCCAGGCTTGGACAACAGGCAAGAGGTGAAGTGTCCTCTCACATCTTTGAAACCAGTTCTCGTCAGACTGAAGTGAACTTTTATTTTTGACTCATTTA